TAAAAACTAAAGCATTGTTCCAAACAATTTTGGAGAATTATTTTAGTTCATGTTAAACTTTTATTTATGGTATTGTATATTTTGTTGGGAACTGTTGTACTATGGGTTTTCCCTTTAATATATTTTTCTTGTTTAAAAAATAATAATTATTACTATATGTGGAGGTGTGTTTTCTTAAGATGGAACCAAACAAATAAATTATAAGTTATTACAATTTGGAGTTTATTCCTATAAATAATTGATCCCAAGTTGAGACTGAAGTTTTTTATGACTTTAAGCAAGGACGAAGCTGTATAGGACCTAGGGGTCATCCGCCCCCACTCAATTGTGTGTGTGTGTGTACTTTTGCATTCCAATTCCCAAGCCCTAATTAAACTACAAATGAAAAAAATAGATTGCATTTCAATTCTAACGTCAGTTCTAATTAAACTATAAAAAAAATGGTCCAGTGGAAAAAAGACAAGGTGTATCCGGTAGTTTACATACTTGTGACATTAGCACGAACTCTTCCAGTTGCTATTGCTACCGTTGAAAAAGCATTTTCGGCTATAAAATTTATGAATCGATTGAGAAATTGAACGGAAGATTAATGGATGAATGATAACATGATTATTTTTATAAAGAGATATTTGATGGTATTGGTAATGATGTTGTCATGCACACCGCTTTCAAAACATGAAAACGCGTCGAGGAATATTGTAAGATGTTGTATGAAAAACTTTGTGGATTAATATATAAGTGTTTTGTGCAGTAAATTTTTGAGTTTTTTAATTTTACCTTCTTGTTTGAAGATGCCCCCATTCTTACAAATTTCTGGCTTCGTCCTTGACTTTAAGGAGGTTATTCTTTTATAGAGTATTACTTTAAAGAGATTTTACTGTATAAGTACTACTACACAATTGCATATTTTCTTTCTCCTCCCCAATCTCTCTTTGGTTTTGTTGTATCCTTTATTTCTTTATATTTTATTTCCAATCTACTGCCATTACTTTTGCCGTTTATTCTTGTTATTTTATTCAATATAATTAAGTTATATGGTATTTGCTAGACAACAATCAATCATTCAATCTACATTTGCATATTCCTATAAACCCTAATTAAAGAAAAGGACTTACTTGCAGTGGAAGACATTACAATAAGGTTGAGTGTTTGATCTTCCCTTTTCTGAAATCCTTTAACATTCTTTGCTCTCAAAGGGATCAAGCCAATTATACGATGCAAATGCTCTTCCTATCATGGAGACAGTTGCCATCAATTTTAAAGAGTTTGTAACCTACTCTAATTCTAAGAATTAATTATATTAATTCACTTTATTAAACCAATATTAAATTAACATGTATTAAGTCTAAATATATTATAATCACTTATTTACTTTTTATCTAACATACCAAAATAAATGGTTTGATCAACTCAGATATAAAAAAAAAAAAAAAAAAAAAAAAAAAAAAAGCTCTTACATTCTCCCACATGAGTGTAATCAAACTATCAACCAATATTATATCTAACAAGTAAATAGTGATTACTGAATCATGGTGAACATAATGACCTTCCAATTGAATTCAATGATTTATTAGTTGAACTTCAGACAACTTAATACAAAGTTATATAGTATTAGTGTTCTAACATTACAAACTAATCAAACCCAAGTAGAATTGAACTTAAAAAAACTTTAGATGAGAGTCAAATCATATACTTGTATGACTCCCACATTGCTTGACCTAATGACGTTGCAGATGTCATTCTTTATTCCATATTTTTGCACAAAATTACAAAACATAAAAGCAAACTTGACTGGACTTGAGCTTTTACTAGTGAATTACATTGTCATGTAAATCATCTTGCAAACTTAATAAGCACAATTTCTAATCAAAACATATACATAAGATGGTGAAAAATTATCTTACTCTCACATTCAAACATTATCCGTGATTGCATGCATACCCATATTTGGCAAAAGCATTTGAAATGCTGTTACATGTAAGGCTTTTGTCAATGGATCCGCAATCATGTGCTAAGTACCAATACACTCCATTAACTCTCCCTTTTCTGGTTTCATCTTGGAGCTTCAAATACTTAATTTACATGAGTCTTGAGGTTTCTGATCTTCTATTATTTTTGGCAAAGAACATCACTGAAGTATTGTCACATAAAATCTTAATTGGGCTTTCAACACTTCTCATTATCTTCATGTCTTAAATCAGATTTCGTAACCATATAGGTTGTCTCATTGCTTCAAAACAACCTATGTATTCTGACTCCATTGTTGAAACTGCTATAGTGGTTTGTTTTCTACTTCTCCATAAAACTACACCACCAGCTAATATGAATATATACTTATTGGTTGACATTCTATCATCTATGCAACCAACTAAATCAACATCACTATAACATATTACTTCCAAATTCTCAACTCGATGAAAACCCAAAACATAAACTTGTGTCTTCTTCAAGTACCTTAATACCTTTTTACTTGCATTCCAATAAGCTATACTAGGATTTGATTGAAATGTACCCAACACACTCAGTGCAAATGCCAAATCATTCCTAGTGCAAACTTGTGCATACATCACCTTACCAACTAAGGAGGCATATGACTTGTCCTTCATAGCTTGGATGCCATGATCAGTGACAGTCATTAGATTTTGTGATATAGAAAACTTGTCATCTTTGACAATGGGAACATCACCACTACTGCAATTCTCCATGTTAGACCTTTTGAGAACTCGACCAATGTAATTCTTTTGAGACAACCCCATCCTACTCCTCACAATCTCAATGCCTAAAACATAGTAGGCTTCACCCAAATCTTTCATATCAAAATGGTTGGGCAACATTTCCTTAGTCTAATTTAACAATTGAATATTTGAACTTGCCAAGAGTATGTCATCATCATAAAGAACCATAAATATGAAATAGGACTTATGCTGTTTCATGTAAATGCAGTTATCAATCTTGTTTTCCACAAATCCAAATGATTGCACAACTTGATTAAACCTTTTATACCATTGCATAGAAGCTTGTTTTAGTCCATAAATAGACTTGTTGAGTTTAGATACCTGGTTCTCCTTCCCCCTTTCAACAAATCCTAGTGATTGCTTCATGTTGATGTCTTCATTAAGATTGCCATTGAGAAATGTAGTTTTGACATCCATTTGGTGCAACTCTAAGTCAAAATGAGCTGTGAGGGCCATGATAACTTGAAATGAATCCTTGGTAGACACAGGTGAAAAAGTTTCAGTATAATCAACATCTTCCCTTTGTGTAAAACCTTTAGCCACAAGTCTGGCCTTAAACCTTTTAACTCGTCCTTGTGCATCACGTTTTTTTTTTTTAAACACCCATTTGTAGCCAATTCGTTTAAGGAGAACCTTCAACCAAGGACCAAACATCATTCTTTGCCATTGAATCCAACTCTTCTACCATTGCAGCTTCCCAAGGAGCACTTTGTGAACTCTTAATTGCTTGTTTTTAAGTTACAGGATCATCATGGCCACCTATGTCATATTCAACTTCTTGCATATAACACATATAATCACTAGGTATGGTAGATTTCTTGTTTCTTGCGAATTTTCTCAACATAGGTGGAGGGTCATGGAAAGATGTGGATGCTGCTTCCGTCACTATTGTTAGTGGATGTGAAACTGTCTAGGGTTCCAATTCATCAACATGTTGAGATGTATAAGCCAATGTTTTAGATTTATTATTGAGATCATGGACTGATGATGAAATTGGAATTGCAGCATTGTATACGATGCAACTGCTTTTCCTGTTGTGGAGACAGTTGCCATTCGTTTTAGAGAGTTTGTAACCAACTCTAAGAATTAATTATATTAATTCACTTTATTAAACCAATATTAAGTTGACGTGTATTAAGTCTCAATATATCATATCCCTTATTTGCTTGTTGTCTGACATACCAAAATAAATGGTTTGAAATGTTAACATGGTATCATAGTGGGTTCCCTAAACTTGACCCCTGAGGGGATGACCTATTGATGACCCTAACCCAGATGAGACTCAGATTTTTGTGCCTTGTCACAAAAAGAGGTTACCAACAGGGTTTAGGGTTCAATCATGTGATGAAGATTACAAAATTATAGGAAAGTGTTAGGGAAACAAAGTTTTTGTATCAGATAAGTTGTAAATAATATATAAATATCACGTTAATTAATTAAAGAGTTCAAGAAGTGATTTTTACATACCATTTTAGTTTCTCACACATCTCTTTATTTATGACCATCAGATTGAATAAATCAAACGGAATCAACGGTCAAGAGGTGTACGTAAGATTATAAAATGGATGTGTGGCAATCACTTTCCAAAAAGTTTATTTAATTAGATGTTGGTTTACTCTAATTTATAATAGAATGGGGACGAAAGTGAAAGTATTATGGAATGTCGTTGAAATTTGATTAAAATTGAGTATGTTATATTTTCCCCGTCATTAGTAATATTGGAGATTTTAATCAAATTATAATTAAAAAAGAAATATACAATTAATCAAACTAGAACATATACTTCATAGTGACCGATTACATGAAGAATTTTCAAAAAAGCAACCCCATTATGTGGATCTGAAAAACGTGAAAATAAATTATTTTCAAATGAAAATATTAATGATAAAAAAAATTGTTTGGTATATTAATTTATTTCATTATTCCAAATAATACCATAAGATTCCATTCATAATAATTCTTCGGCTGTCGCACGCACAATGTCATCATGACAATGCCACCACACCTGCTTTCGTTCAATTTACACGTCCTCTTCCTTCGACAATATATTCGAGAGTAATGCCAGAGAATAAATTCGTAAATTCAATATTGAAAATTAAAAAACATAAAAATTGATGATTAATTTATTATTTAAATGTTGATAAACGTGCTTATTTTTATTAGTGACATATCATTTAGTTTGTAAATTTATTTTCCAAATTTAGTTTCCTTGCACTACCCTGTATTCAAATCTCACACTAAACAAATTATGCTCGATTGTAATGGTATATAAACCATAAAGTCAGAAACACAACATATTCGAAACCTGCAATTCCAAATTCATTTCTAGCCATGGCCAAAACTTCCCAAACCCTCCCAGTTCTTACATCTACCCTACTCATATTTTCCTTCACTGTTCTTTTCTCTACAACCCTAGGGCTCAAAAACCAAGAGAAGCTAAGCCACCTCCATTTCTACTTCCATGACATAGTCAGCGGTCCAAACCCTGCTGCCGTCTGGGTTGCCCAAACACCCATCTCCAAAAAATCCCCAACCCTATTCGGCTCTATAGCCATGTTCGATGACCCGCTAACCGTAGGCCCCACAAGGAGCTCCAAACTTGTGGGTAGAGCACAGGGGTTATACGGGTCAGCCTCACAGAGTGAAGATGCTTTGTTGATGGCCATGAACTTCGTATTTTATGAAGGGAATTATAATGGGAGCAGTCTCAGTGTGCTGGGTCGAAACTCCGTGCTTGAAGCTGTGAGAGAGATGCCGGTAATCGGCGGAAGTGGGGTTTTCCGGCTGGCTCGCGGGTATGTTCAGGCGAAGACTGTCACGTTTAATGCAACCAGTGGGGATGCTCTTGTTGAATATGATGTGTTTGTCTTCCATTATTGACTTGTCTGCTTTTCTCATCTCCACAATGTTGTCTTCGGTCAAAGTGTAGTAGGTGGAGTGGTGGGGTTTTGCTTTTTGGTGTATAGCCATGTTAGGTCGAAATGATTTCTTCGCTTCTTTATTTCTAGCATTTCAATTTCGATTGAAAAATAAACTAAAAAGAATAAATAAACATAAGTATATAGAAAGAAAAAAAACGAATGTGTCAGAACCATTTTCCTATACGATATGAATGTTGAATGGTTCGAAATAATCCATCCTACTTTTTTTTCTTTTTTCTTTTGTTGTGTGGTGGGTGAGAAGTTTTTGTCCTGAAACAAAATTTAAGTTTTGCTTTATTTCTTGTAATTGAAAAGTGGTTCCTTAATCTCTTAAAACTCATATTTCATTCATTTTACATGTTTTTGTGAAATCCATCCGAGTTCAGTTAAGTATGCAATTACGTGGAAGGGGTATTAGCAAAGTTTGCTCAAACATTACAAAGCCTTGAATAGGCTCAAAATTCACTGAGTTAATCTACCGCTCGAATGTGTTACGCGCTCAAACTTCATAGCCTCAAGTTCCATAGACAATGGCTACTTTGTCAGCTTTGTCACCTACAACTATATTAATCAAGCTGTTTAAATGATGAAATATTCAGATAGGAAAGAATACAGTGCGACTAATAAGTACATAAGTCCTTTGTGCCATTATCTTAAATTGATCTAGCACTGGCACCTGATGTCGTATTTGATTTTGGTTGAGTGCAACGGGAGGGGGGGAAGTGAGAAGAAAGAATAGAGTTGTGGTTTTGGCACATACTAAATGCTACTCTATATGTCACATTTCAGGGTTCAGCCTAAATATTTATATATACTAAAACTCACACAAAAAACACTGTTCATTAATAGTGTTCTTCCATTTTCACCCCTGCTTCTTTTTTGTCATCTGAACTTTGCCCTATTGCTTTGTTGTCAAATGAGTAACAGTTTTGTGGGAACGTGCTCGAAGGCTCTTCCATTTTCTTCTGTCACTTTTCCCTTTCTCTTCCTCTCTGTTTCTGTGCTTTTCTCCCTGCGTCAATCCTTCGTGTTTCCTTGCTTCTCTCTGCCTCCTCCTTCGCCTAAGAACCGCTGGTCAATCTGGTTTCTCTGGCTTCTTCCGATGGCGACCAAGATTTCATCATGGAGGAGATGAATGATGGAGGTCAATTGGATCTTGAATACGATTTCTACCGTGAGACTTGCCTAGAAACTGAGACCATTGTGAGGGTCGATGATGGCGTATATTTACTCCCACCAAAAGAATGTCTCTGCCCAATTGATGCACCTTTTCTTCCATGACTGCTTCATTAGGTATATCCCAAACCCCAAGATTATTTTTTTCTTCATCTTTGTGGCTATTTCTCATATGGGTTTTGTTCTTATTGCTCTACTTTCAATCTTGATGCTACTTTTCTTCATCTTTGTGGGCTTTTCTCAAATGAGGTTTCTTCCAAATTCTAATCTTGCTCTGGGTTCTCTGACTTTCTTCATTTTTGTGTGGGTTTTTCTTGAGGGTTTTTGTTTTGATTGTTCTGGATTTTCTGGTTTTAGTTTTGATTTCTTCTTCCCTGTGTTTTTTCACAAACACCCCCTGCAGGTCCCATTTTTGGATATCCGAATATGCGCTCGAACTAACTCTCCAAGGCCGCTGATCTTGGATTCGCCACTCCTATATTTCCTTACTCGGATTCATTTCCGACGTTTTAATTCTACGGAATCAGTAGAATGTCAATGATCGATAAAAGAATCCTCTTCCATCATCTTCCCTGCTATAAATATATACATATGTGTGTGTGTGTGTGTGTTTGTGTGTGTGTATAATTATTATGTACATATGTATATCCCAATGTACGAAGAACAATAGGAGAAGTCTACATGCAACATAAAACTAAGCATTAATTTAGGAACCAGTTCAGCATACATACAGTTTTGTACTTTCCTTTTGTCAATCTTCTCTTCTGTACTGTATCGTTATTTTGAAAATTCATTAGGAGAACTACTTCGAGGTTTAATTCATTTTGTGTAATCAGTTTTCTTAAGTGGAAGCAATAAGTATGTTTTATACGGCATATTTTAAATAATACATAAAAAATTACTTTCTAAAGATTGATGTGAAAATTTATAAACTGAATTAAATTTAAGAAACGCATGAATGAATCAGCAAAGAATTGAAATGTTATTTCATTTTTAATGCTTTTAATTGATTTCATGTTTATGTTTGAATCAGTAAAGAAACGTTGCTAATGGTGTACCTGTGACGATTCAACGTTGATATGCTTCTGTGTCAATTGGCTTCAGTTATTTGGTAAGAGACCTTACTTTAACCTCCCAGTTTAATTCATTTTGTGTTATCAGTATTCTTAAGTGGAAGCAATAAGTATGTTTTATACAACATATTTTAAATGATTACATAAAAAATTACTTTCTAAATATTGATGTGAAAATTTATAAACTGAATTTAAATTTAAGAAACGCATGAATGAATTTAGCAAAGAAAACAAAAAATGAGAACTATTTTAAAAATTTTAAAATGTGTTCTAGGGTTTAGTAAGAAAAGTTGTTCCATGAGTTGTGTATTGAGGTTTACGTTTACGATGTGAATAGAAATATGAATGAAATGCACATACATTATTTTTAATATTTTAAGGGATGATTTTTTTTTGTCTGGAGAAAATAACAGCATCATTCCTGCATGTTAAGTTTATTTATTTTTTCAATTATTGTGGAGAAAATTTGAAGCCAAGTTCTTCACTCTTCTCAGTTTCTGCTGCTGATCGGCTGTCATCGCACTATGTAATGAACCCTTCTCCTTCAAATATATCATCTTGTGATTGTGTAATCTTCATGGTCTGTTTGGTCTATTCCATTTCCAATTGGATTATCGATGTTGGTTCTATGTTTGAAGTTGGAAAAACTCATATGTTGCTTTTATAGTTTGATTAACAGTTCTTAATTAGAATTGGCAAATTCTTTTACTAAACATTTTTTTACTCATCATATTTCTAACGTTGGAGGTTCATTCTGATTTGAGATGGAAATTAATGTTATCAAGAGTTTAAAATGTGATGTAAGACATAAACTATTATGATTTTGTAGAGAAAATAATCTTTTTAATGAAAGAGCTGTAAAAACAAAGTCAAGGTTAGGTTAGAGGGCTTAAGAGAGTAAAATTGGGATTATGAAGGGTTAGACAGGTATGGGTGGGATTGGTTGAAGGATTTGATGGAAGCTAACTCTTAATTATGATGCTATTAAGGAAAAAAAGTCAAGGATAAGTTGAAGGGTTTGAAAGAAACTAAAGTGGAATTAATTGGAAACAAACTATTCACTAGAAGTTGATATATTTTTAGGTGTTTTCGGAATACAAAGTAGTATAATAAGTGGTATATGTAGTTTATATTTTCTATACTTTTTCTTATAATCTCTTATGCCTTGGTCTAATTATTTTCTTGAATTCGATCTGTTTTTTGTAGAAACTTGGTTGCAAGGCAAGTTGAAAACGCACAAAAGTTTGATCGCATCCTATAGAATTGCCAGAGAAGGTCATCTCCATTTTCTTACAAAATCAGACTTCTTTCTGCATGCAGAAACACTAGGTAAACCCACTTTATCCTTATTTTGTTCATGATATAATTCTACTATCTATAAATTTATTTCAATTTTTTTTCCCTTGCCTGGGATGCTTCCTTAATGACCAACATAGCAAAGGACAACTTTTAGTGTTGCAGTAAACAACATTTCCCATTAATGTTTTTGGATAGGAAGCAATTTGTGTTTTTTCATATCCAAAGAACTTCATAAGATTTTTAATAGACGAAATAGGTTTCTCTTTTGATATATAAATTTGTTTCATTCATGATGAGGTTGTGTATAATTTGCATTGGCATTGGTAACTCAGTTTTTGACTCAAACATTGTTTATGAAGATTGAAATTGCATAATCTTTCATATAGTTTTCAATCTCGCAGCAACGTGCAGGTACAAATTCTAGTGCCTCTCTATATTTCACATTTCAGATTCTGAACCCCTTATTATTACCTTCATGGTCCTAGCGAAAACTGTTAACATTCAAACGGGAAGAATTGATCATTCAACTATGAAGAGGAAGTACGTACGTACCTCTCCTCAATTTGCTTCAACTTTCGGTGCCAGGTTTCGTCTTTGATGAGATTACGGTTGATCTAAGAAAGAAACACACACAAAAAATAAAATAAAATAAAATCGCATGAATACAACATTCCTATGCCAAAATCCAAAGTAAATATAACGTGAAGAGGAGTACATTACGACAGAAACTCACATCTGCAACACCATATTTTCCACCAGACATTTCTCCAGTTTCTCTTGAAAAAACCCGCATCTTGGAATTTAGAGCTTTCTCTACTGCTTTGGAAACTGAACTTTCCATCGTACTTTTGGCCTCCATAAGTTGAGGTTCATAGTACTAACATAGTATACATACATCAAAACAAATTTTGTAGTCTACTGAATGACCATACATTAGGGTAAAAGGAAAAGTAAGAGCACACAGAAGGCAGAAGGGTGGGGTTCGTTGACGGCCAACTTGTCTTTGAGTCTCAAGCTGACTTGCAAGAAGTCGGTTATACTCGTTAACAATATGTAGCAGCACAACATCTAAAGATCAGTCATGCGAATAAAACGAAAAAGATGCATAGAGCTAGCTAAAGTACACAATTTCAACTTTGCGGGCTCCGCCAATTCCAAGAATCGTCACTTCATTTACATGCATCGCAACCCCCTTCCAGTCAAATACGACGAGTATCCATACCAGTTATTACTTCGCCATCAACCTTCGCTTGGTTTAGGCGGTGAGCATAAGCATCACCAACATAATCCCACATCTGCTGCCTGCCTGTCCAAATGAAGCATATAGCAATGTTTTCCAATGCCTAACAGCATGGCCTTCTGTCTATATATCTTTTTTTGGAGAAAAAATTCTCTATAATATTCTGTTTGTGCTGGATGAAACTTAATTAAGACATCGCCATAGCTCATCAAGTAAATAATACATGGGAATATTGCTTTCTTGCACTGGATGCAAAAATAACCTCCTAAGAAAAAAAAAAAACAAAACATGTTCACCTTCCACTTCACATGTTACGTGAACCCTGGGATTCACCGAAATTTCCCAGACAGGAAAACTAACTCACTTGATAAAAAAGTCCATATTGAAATGCAGGGACAATGAAAAGAATGGTTACAAAGCATACTCACTATTCCTCTAGTGCCGCCATCCAATCTCTCTACGTTCAAACAAAAGTTAACCAAAATAACATATATATTGCGCAATATAACTCTGGGAAAAAATTAAATCAATATAGAGTAACTCATCTACGACGACAATTTTATCACGGCCATTAAGAGTCCGTTGTAAAAAATACAAATTTATCATGGGTATAATGAGCATGTGGTGAATAACAATTTTTTATCAAAGACAAATTTTAGTCCATGGTAAAATAGTAATTAATGATCATCCGAAAGTTGCATGTTGTAAATATACTAAGCCACCACACGTGATGCTCATGGTTAATATGGTTAATATCCACAACGCCTTTTTATTATCTACCACATGCATAACATGTGGTACAATCATTCATAATTAAAAAAAATTAAAAAATTAGAGAAGGCAGGACACCAAATTTTGCAAAATTTTAAACAATCTTTGAAATTTGACAAATCCACTTTGCGTGCTGTCTGCCTTCTCCGTGCCCATCTCTTCCACTTTATCTTCCCTTCCCCGTTTTCAGTTTGTTAATTTCTGTCATCTCTCTTTTTCTCTCTCTCTCACGGTGGTTTCCAATCTACTCCAATCTCAAGTCCCCACTACCACCCCTGTTCATACTTCCTGTCAAACCTGCTTCACGTTTCCCGATTCATCCCTCTGCAGATGCCAAAAGAACCCTTTATCCTCCTCCGAGCCAACTCAGTGGAGATGGGACTCTGCGCACCAGAACCTCTTCAAAACTGCCATCAAAAGCTTTGTTTTTGTAGCAATTTTCCCCAATTTCGTTGAAAACCTTATAAATTCGGCCTTGGTTTCACTCTCTTTCTCACATTTGCCGCTCATTTTGTTGATCCGCCTGTCCATCACTCCGTCGAATCTCATCGCTTCGCTAGCCAATAGGAAGAGTTTACATTTGGATGAATATTCCTTTTGTTTTTTGATCGGGTACGTTTGATTTCATTTGTATCTGTTTTTTTGGATATTCCTTTATTAATGAGCCCTTGATAACAATTTGTCGCCGTAATATTTTTCTTGTTCAAAAACTACCGCTATGCTTGTTCTCTCTTATGAATGATGGTGGATGACGATTGGGTTGCAGGGTGGTTTGCATTTGCTAGCCTTTCTCACTTTATGGCTTAGAAATTGGTATGCATAATGCATATATTTGGATTGATTTTAGGGTTAGGGTTTTGAATTTGAATCTCTATATTCTCACTCAAATTTTGGAACTTTCCTCTTGTATTTTAATTTTTTATTGTATTTGTTCTAATACTATTGTAGTTGTTTTGTTGGTTTGATCGCAGCTTCCATTTTCTCTACTTAAGTAGTGCAGGGCCATCATATGGTTAGTAAATTAAAGATGTTCCCTCAATTTCATTAAATAACTTAAGCTTGAATAAATCTTGGTAACCCATTGTAAACACGAATTTTCCTACGATGAAACGAGACAAGAACACGTGTACAAAATAATATTTTGTATTAATGATTTGGGGTTACAATCTCTTTATAGTTTGATCCTCTGATTCGATCTCCGTAAGATGTAGATTTGTGGATGTTTTGTTGACCCAAGGGCCGTCAAGGCTTGATCTTGGATGAACGGTTGGAAGTTTCTTCAAGAGCCTTCGGGGCTTGATCTTGAAGGTTGAGGGAAGTTTCTTCAAGGGCCTTCGGGGCTTGATCTTGAAAGTTGATGGAAGTTTCTTCAAAGGCCTTCAGGGCTTGACCTTGAGGGTTGAGGATGAATAGATCTTCAAGGGCTTTTGGGCTTGATCTTGAAGAATGGATGTGTGGATTTGTTGATGTTGTTGATCCAAAGGGCCGTTAGGGCTTGATTTTAGGATGAACGGATGATGAACGATGAACACTTTCTTCAAAGGCCATCAGGGTTGGATCTTGTAGGAGGACTTGACGAAGAACGAAGAGGGCTTTCTTGATCCTTCGACATTTGCTTGAGAGCTCTAGAGTTTCAAAGCTTCAAGATTTTGGTGTGATGTGAATTGGTGTAGTGAAATGAATGAAATTGACTTCTGTTTATAGAAATTTTCAAGGCCTAATTTTGAATATAATATTCAAATGAAATAAATCATTTATGTCAAGTGTTGACATATGTCCTATTTGATGACTTTTCTGATTTTGTTCAATTTTTTGTTAAGTTACATGATACGTGTAAAATTTATGTGATACGTGAACGTTGAAATTTTAATTATTGGTCAACATTTATTTCACCGAAATTTCGATGTTTACAAATGCCCCCACTTCAAGGCGCGTCGTATGCATGTGCTTGTCACGTGTAGGAGATGCGTTTGGAAGTTCCTTAATGTAGATGTCGATCCAAGGGCCTTTAAGGCTTGATCCTGAAATAGACTGGAAATTTCTTCAAGGGCCGCTGAGGCTTGATCTTGAATTGGGCTGAAAGTTTTCTTCAAGTGCCGTTGAGGCTTGTTCTTGAATTTTGTTTAAAATTTCTTCAAGGGCCATCGAGGCCTGATCTTGAATAGAATTGGACCACAAGGAGCTTCACGTGGTAGATGATCTTTGGCTTTGGTAATGGATGAATTGGCACGTATTTTGTTGCGCTTGTTGACTTTCCACAACTTTGATCTTGAACTGGATTAGAGGATTTTCTGGTTTCCTCCAATTGTTGACTTTGCACAGGCTTATTCTTGAAATGGGCTGAGGGTTTCTTCTGCTAGACTTGTACCAAATGTCTGAATTTACTCCTTTTATGTGGAGCTGAATTTGATTCAAGGGTGGTGGACACTTGATTTTGAATCGGACTTGTGATTTCTTCAAGGGCCATCTAGGCTTCTCGAGCTCTTCAATTAAAGCAATGATGTCGAGCCTGGATTTGACTTAGACTCATCCGTTTGGATTATGCGGTTCTGCAGAGAAGGACATCGTGCTATAATGATTTGTTACAGCTCATTATGCTGCATTCTTCTCTGCTTGTTTCTTTTGTATAGCAGAAGCGGTGCGTAACCTTTTGCATTTAAATGGTCATTCAGAGCATCATTTCTTAGCGACTCATCCATGCTTGGCAGCTTTAGTGTAAAGTGCCAACTTCATATCAACTGTCCTTGGAGTATTCGCTGAGGAAATTAGAGACCCACCAACAGCTGAAGACGAGCACTCGAGAGCAATGCTAGGTAAGCAACCATGCAAAGGTTCCGAGCAATCAGTTCCAGATTAGAAGTTTGATTTCAGGTTCCAACTGATCGCTTTCTTTCTCCTTATCTTACAGGCAAGAGCAAGGGCAAAGGGAAAGACAGGGAAAAAGCATGATATGAGATACCTACGTTTTCGACCCTGATAATATGAGATACTTTTGCTTTTGAAGAAGTAGCGGATGAATCAGTACATGTATTTGTTGCGCTTGTCTCCACATGCTTCGATGTATCATTTTTTGCTTGCCTTATTTGTTCTCCAAGCATCTGGTATCTTTTTTGGAAGTACATCAGTAGTTGAAGATGAGTACTTGAGAGCGATGCTAGGTAAACAATCAGGGAAGGGGTTCCAGGCATTCGGTTCCTAACAGGAAGCTTGATTCCAAGTGCCGACTGATTGCTCTCTTTCTCCTTGTCCTGTAGGGAAGAACAAGAACAAAGAAAAGGACAGGGAAAAGACATGCTATGAGATACTCTTGCTTTCAACCCTGATGATATGAGATAATTTTGCTCTGGTGTGACCTGGTTGTAGAGGTGTTTTCAGGGGGGAAGAAACTGAGCATGTTGAGAGGTTTGGTTGCAGATGCATTCTTGGCAAGGAAGAAGAGTCAGGCGTTTTGGAAGTGTGTCTTGCCATAGAGGATGAAGGTCGAAATATATAGGGATTTTCCAATAGTAGGTAGTGGTGCGGGTGCGGCCTTGTCACCCACGCTTGTTGACAAAAGTGTGGTAGTTGGAATAGTGAACTTCACGCGTTTTCAACTTTGTCAGAGTTCTTTAACAAAGTTGCACGTGTTATCTGACAAGCTGAGGTTGCGTCTGAAAAGTGTTGACTGATTTTATGCAGGAAAATCTGGCTTTTGAAATTCGAAGAATGGTGTCTCTTCGATTTTTGAATTGGTGGCTGTGTTGCCTCTCCTTTTATAGAGGTATTGATCACATCCAACATGCACACTTTGAAGATTGCCCACTCGTGAAAATTGTCTCTGGTGTATTTATGAGATTTTACTTCATCCAACCCTTTTCTTTTACCATTTTTTTTATTTTTTTTGAAAATGGCGTACCGGTCTAACATCTGCTTAGATTTGAGTCTCGGGAACGATACAGGCACGCTGCATCAGGGTAATATATGGCGCCCATCCTTCTTATCTTCGAATAACCCTCTTACAGTTGAAGACTCCATGATGAAGGATGCAACAACGGCTACGGTAGTAGCTAGGAACCTCCTTACTCCTAGAGATAATAGGCTGCTTTCAAGACAGTCTGATGAGTTTGTTGTCCAAGGCTCCTTGGTTTTCAGTGTTCAGTGCGCGGGCTCTGTGTCTAATATGGGCCAACGTTTACTTGCTCGAACTCGCCAAGTTGAATCATTGACGGCCGATGTGGCAAATCTTAAACAAGAGATTAGACAGCTCAAGCGCGAGAATAAAGATTGGCACATACTTGCAAATAATTATTCAATGAGGATGAAGAGGAAGCTTGATCAGCTGCAGGACTTCGAAGGTCGGATTCAAAGTGACCATCAGAAGTTTGTGGTTGTACTGTTGAGGCACTTTTTGCCTTCGTCATCTATAGCTTGATCAAGTATTGAGGCTCCGAATAATCAACCTCTGGTGCTTCTTTTTCCTGGAGTTTTGCCAAGTACTATGGCGGCACGTGAGCAACCTTTGTGAAGGCTTCCCTTCCTTTCCTTTTTATTTTTTTAATTTTTTTTAATTTTTATTTTTTTTTACATATTTGTAATTTCTATGGATGAGCTTTATTTCATTCAGTGTATTGTGCTAAATAAAAATAAAGCATATATCTTACTAAGATGTGTTACTTTCCTTATTATTATTATATTTTTAAAATGATGCCGTGCACTATCCCATAACCTTTCTCTCTCTTTTTTTATTTTATTTATATTTTAAGATGGTGTCTGATGCACCATCATCCCTATTTTTGTTTCTAACTTTCAATGATTTTGTCGCCACGACCCTTTCTTTTGACTTGGTGGTAGTAGCGTGCATCTTATTTTTGTGTGTGTGTGTGTGTGTATGTATGTTTCGATGATGAGTATGGTAGATTGACACTACTGGGTTCCTCGATGGGCTTTCTCGCTGCACCGCATGTAGACTATTTTTTACTTGCACAGTCGATGCACTACATTTTTCTCTGCATGCAGATCATTGTTTGCATAGTCACCGTCCTTCTTTTGCTTATGCGGGTCAGTGACACTTGGGAGATCATTATGCATATGCAGGATTGCACAGTCACCGCACTACATGCAGACTAGTTGCATTTGCAACTGTTGAGACCATTATATATTCATACATGTACACACATGTATAGGGCACCGCATAGTCACTTCACCTACTTGTTGTCTCGCATCCCAATTGCATTGTACTGCTCCCTCACTGCACTGTGTTCTCCGCGTCTGCCGCTTGCTGAACTCAGTGCTGGACAAAAAGAGTGGCTACAAGTGCAGGTTTGAACCGCAAGGGTGAGTTGCTATCCATCTCTTCAACCTCTACAGTTCTCCATGCTATTTGTGGGAGTTTGATTGTAGTGAAGACGAGGCACGAGTCGTCACGAGTGAGTTGCTTGCAGATGAGAGAAAGCCATTGCTGCGAACAGGAAGAAGAGAAGGCAGTCGCCTAGCAAATTCTTTCATGCGTCCTTTATTCTATAAGGCTTATTCTTTGCAAGCAGGGGACAACTTTGATCTTTTGGGCCATATATATATATCTGTTTGTAACGTGATTGTCCCATCACCGTGTCCATATATATATATAATATAATATAATATAATGTGGCTATTTATATATAATATTTGTTCCCCATTGATGGATTTCTTTGTTGTAATGTTAGAAATCTTTAATTTTGAGAAGGGAGAGCATGATGTCGGGGTCCTCATGAAGCTTTCAGAGACGTGGTAGCAGGACGTGGGTGTATCTGTGCTTTTTGCTGCCTAGTGCTTGTGTAAGAGACTGCAACGGGGTTTCGTTATGTAGTGCCTTTTGATCACAGTTTTCCTTCGGTGGTGCACTGCCGTGTAGTGATGTGCAAAATACTGCAGTGGGACTTCGCTGTGTAATGCCTTTTTGTCACAGTTTTTCTTTGGTGGTGATGTCGCCGTGCGGTGCAAGAAACTGCTTGCGTAATCGCTACGGGGTTGTGTAGTGTGATTGAGTGGCATTTTGGTTTTCTTTGCCACTGTAGCGTGCCTTGAATGACCATTCTGTAGCTGCCCTATTTGCCGTGCTGCTCAAATTTTGTGGCTGATTTTGTTTTGTTACGGTCATGGTATTTTTCAAGTGTTTTAAGAGTAACGTCATCACCATTCTTGCGAAGGAAGGCAATTCGCAAGATAGGGGAACGACATTGAAGCTTTACGCGCCACTGACTGGTCCTAAGGCACCTGCACTTCCCACAAAAGACAACTCCATGCATATTAAGTCATGGTCTTCTGAAGTATCTTGAGAGGTGGTAGACTTTGTTCGACCAAATACAAAGAAGAAGGTGCGCATATCGAGGATTCTTATCTTAAACCCTTCCCACCATGTTCATGACAATCATCCGGCTTCGTTTGAGTTTCTTGGTGATCGTATCCATAGTGGAGTTGTGGCTTGGAGTAGCACCCTGTCGACTATTGGAGGAGCTGTTTTCGTTGAGTTTTATTGGGAATGGCTTGAAGATGTCTTGAGTCGCTCCAAAGATGTGTTTACCAACATGGGCCTTTATTATGTTGTATACATATCTTTGTTTAGTTATGATCGACATCCTTTCCTCCTTCATGCATTCTTTGAGAATTGGTGTTCAGCGACCAACACACTTCACACGGTTCAAGGGGAGATGTCGATTTCACTTAGGGATCTCTATAAGATAAGAGGCTTGATCCAAGGAAAATTTTATGAAAATGTCGTCTCTAGTGTGGAGGAGTTTTCTTATCGCAACAGTTAAGGAATGCCTGTGAGTTGC